GAAAACAAACAAAAAAATTTGTTCTTAGATTAAAGGTACCTCTAAAATTACCACAAATTCAACAATTGCCTTATAATGTATAATAATTAATAATAAAATAATTGTTAATGTATCAATTTATTTAAGATACATCGATCAAATGACTTTTTCATAGCAAATATAAAAACTCGTACATGCGACATATCTTTCTGAAAATGTTAGCATAGTACAGCCAGTTTCTTTTTACATTTGCAAACTTATAGCGCGTACTAGTGATATAACTGTCTTGATATATTAAACTATATACAGCCCGCTATTTTATATTATAAGATTAAAGTCATCATTTGTTTTGAAAGTGTCACATATATTATAACAAACGTTCATATATCAATATGACTCTTTACAGGCAGTTCTCAAAATCAAATTCATATATATATATATATACATACAGAATGTGCAGTAAGTAAGGAAACAGTTGTTCAAACAATGAAAACAATAGAAACCCGTTTCCTTACTTCCTGGACACTATATACAATATTATATATTTATGTATATATAAGTTATGATAAAAAAAGAGGTATCATTAATTAAAGAACCAACTTTTTGTTTTAAGTTCTTAATATAAATAATATATATAATAATATTAATATAAATAAGTCAAATAATTTTATCAATAAATTAATATTACTGCTTATAACTTTTTTTTATCTCAGATATCAAATCTCGTAAATAATAATTTGTGTATTTAATATTTTTTGTAGGGGATAGAAAGTCTTAAGTAGTTTAAACTGAATTGAAGTATATTTAAAAAAATGAAATATAGTTAGTTATATAAGCGCAACTAGAAGCTATGTGATTATAATAGATATTTAGCACTTATAATTTTATTTTATTTATATTTTTATAATAATGATTTTTCTAATAAACCACATTATCATGGGAGATGATAAATATAAAACACCAATACACTGAAACGTTTCTACTCTTTTAAGTTTGTTTTTATTAACTTAAATTTATCAATAATACGAAAACACAACGCAAATTGCGTTAAATAATCAATTTATTTTGTTTTATTTAAAAAAAGATGAATATATACTAAACAGCTACCATCAGTCTTACTTTAGGAACTACTTAATTTAAGGTGAAGGTAGAAGTATAATCATTTGTATCACGATTGGTAACGTGTTGTTGCAAACACCGTTGAAAATTCTATACATTAAATATGAAGATATAGAGTAAAAAATAAAGACACTTACCCGGTGAAGCGGTGTATGCACGTAAACTAGTTGACAATTAATATTAGTATGATGATTCAAACGGTTATTTAACATTAAGAAGAACATGAATAAATGTATTAAGCAGTGAAGGTGTACTTTATACCACCCGCCACCACCTGAGTAGTGTAGACCAATCGCCCACTGATTATTTATTTTTTAATATTTTCTAATGAATAAATTTGTATTTTAATATCTTATTTAATTTGCGAGTTCCCGATTGGACTGATATGTAACATAAAAGGGTTTACTAGCATTATCAATATAATTAAATAAAAAATACATTATATTATATTCTTTTAAATAAAAATTATCAAACAGCGCTGTCCAGCGGACTATCTAGCAACTGACAAACGGTACTAAAGCTGTAGCGTAACGCTACAACACGTATGAAACATTAACTCAAATTAGTAGAATAATAATTGCGCATAGGTCTCTTCAAGTTTAATGGACTAGCCAATGAGAAGCATTGTGCAATTAAAATATAAAACATTAATTCTCCCCCTCATAGAACAGGCCTATAAAAGAGCGATTTCTAGCTCATTTGCCACCTTATTTTTAATTTTTTTTTTTTATAAAAATCTAGTCATGAAGCGTCTCTGCACCAGACTGTTTCGCGATTGTGCTCTCTCTGACTTAGAATCTTTTTCGCACTTGGTATTTTTTATCTCACTCTTTCATAGTAATGTAAAAAAAAAAAACAACTTTATATTTTATTCTTTTTAGTTTTAAATACTTAAGAATTATTAATGCAGTTAATTTTTTTAATTTTATATTCTATGAATTGTTTTAATTAAAATTTTTTTTTTAATTCTTTAATTGGAGTATCTATATACGAGGGTGAATCAAATATTAACGGGACTTTTCTTTTTAACGCTTCTGAGGTGAAGTGAGCAACGTGACATCGTGATATATGTTGAGTGGGAATGTGAAGTGGAGGGTAGTAAGTTGGTTTGACTCGTCCGAACAGATCGGCCGTCAGTAGCATCATGTCTGAGCAAGAAGTTCACACGTCTGTTGAGCAACGTATCATTATTAAGTTCTTGTCGCGGGAGGGCGTAAAACCTGCTGAAATTTTGCGAAGATTGACCAAACAGTTCGCTGAAAAAACACTTTCAAGGACCCGAGTTTACGACTGGCACAAACAATTTTCCGGTGGCCGAAAGTCAGTGCAAAATGAGACCCATGCACGCCGACCACGAACAAGCATCACTGAGAAGAACATTGATGCGATCCGTGAGTTGATTGAAGAAGACCGCCGCCTTACAATATCGGAAATTGCTGCACATGTCGGAATATCGTTTGGGAGTGCCCAATCCATCATTTCAGATGATTTGGAGTATCGGAAAGTGTCGGCAAGGTGGGTTCCTCGCATCTTGACGGAAGATCAAAAAGCAAACCGTTTTGCAGTGTGTGAGAGACTTCTGGCACGATATCGAACTGAGGGTGATGATTTTTTGAGACACATTGTCACCTGTGATGAGACGTGGGTGCACCATTATACCCCAGAGTCTAAGCAGGCAAGCATGGAGTGGCGAAAACCTGGAGAAGCAGCACCACGGAAAGCCAAGACTCGTCTTTCTGCCGGTAAAGTTCTTGCGACGATTTTTTGGGATTGCAGAGGCATACTGCTCATCGATTTTCTCCATGAACGGCGTACAATTAATGCTGCGTACTACTGCCAATTGCTCGATAAAGTGAAACTAGCCTATCGACAAAAAAGGCGAGACATGCCTATACGAAGTGCAATTTTGCTCCATGACAACGCTCGGCCCCACACAGCTGCATTAACCCGAGAAAAATTAGAAGAAATTCATTGGGCAACATTGGAACATCCGCCTTACAGTCCTGATCTGTCTCCGTGTGACTACCACATGTTTGGACCACTTAAAGAAGAACTGGGAGGTCACCGCTTTGACGACGACGAAGGTGTAGAAACGTTCGTGCGCAATTGGTTACAGACGCGACCAGTTTCATTCTTTGATGACGGAATCAAAAAGCTTCCAATTCGATGGGAAAAATGTGTAAATAGAAAAGGAGTTTATATAGAAAAATAAAGTATGTTCATAATTTTTGTTACTGTACTTACAAAATTTCTAAAAATCAAGTCCCGTTAATATTTGATTCACCCTCGTAATAAATGCATTTCGAAAATCTAGTGGTTGAAATTATTGGTAAAACAATAGTTTATGACGTGTCACTAGGGATTTGTTCTCATAATCTATCTGATTCTATAAATTTTTATTTAAAAATATAAAAGAACATATATGTTCTAAAATGCAGGAGCATCCGTTTTCAATATAATCTGACTTTTAGATTTTACTCGTAAAATCCGATAGAAAAATTGGGCATAACACAAATGTTATTCACGAACATATGACTATGAGTTATGGATTTTTAGTGAAAGCGGCCGACAGTGTTCCAACAGAACTTCTTTAGCGTTTTAATATTCAAACTAAACCTAAAATATATAGAAGTGATAAAAACAGTAAACCTGGGGATATTATTACGCGTTATGTTAATGATATTAGTAACGAAGCATTAAAAATCGAAGAGCTTCTTAAAACAAATTTACCAATTGTTATGACGGCTGAAAAGATCATAAAACACTCCCTAAAACAAAATTTCGATTTATGTAAATTAGAATTCAGTGAGGTTAATTGTAAAGTGGCGGACCATAATCACTTGAATGGTAAATGTGTAACAATTGTAATCTTAAAATGAAATCACCAACATTTGTTCCGTGTTATTTATATAATATGAGCAACTATGATGCTCATTTTATTGTAACACAATTAGGATTAACTAAAAATAGAATATCATTAATACCATCAAGTGAAGAAAAATATATTCATTTTTCGAAGTATGTGTCTAATAAATTCAGTATATTGTACAATATTTTAAAAACAAACCCATCAAATGGTAATAAGGGAATTAGCCTTATATGCCATTCCAAATGTGGAACTTGAAATGAGAACTCATTACAAGAACACTTTCATTAGAAAGCTAAATGGAGATTACAGGCACGCTGTTTGGAACAGTAGATTATGGGATAGAAGTATAACGAAAAACACATACACAGAAACTACTTATTGGAAAAAATTAATCTACTGCATCTTAACATATATGGAGCCAACAGTAAGAAGTAATCTTCATTCCCTTGACATGTTCGATTTAGAATACAATCCAGAAGACTATCCCATCATTGATGAGGATGATTGGGAGACCAATTATGACGATGAACAATATTCAGCAGCAGTGGAACAGTATGGAAATATTATAGAAAAGTACAATTTATTGATTTCAGTCAATAATATTTCCTATCAATATTTTCATTTCGAAGCAAAAATGTTTCCGTTGGTCTTACAGAACATAAGGAGCATTATGATGACAACGCCAAACATAAATCACGTCGATGAAAATATAAACACTGAACAAGAACAATGGTAGATCTACCTTCTTAATCATAAAATTTTTTACTTATATAATATATTATTTAATTACTAACCCATATTGTATGATTTTATGATTTTATTGTTTGATTTTAAAGAATATAAAGAACATTATGATGTAATGGTCATGTAATGTTGATCAATATTTTACAAACAAACTCATTTTTTTAGATATAAGTAATAATAATATATCATAATCAATATTATATTTAATTTTTACTTTATAAATCCCTTAACATTATTATTAACTTTAGATTTACTTTAATCAAACATTTTAGAGTGTAAATCTCTAGTCTCTTATTTTATTAATCAAATATTAATTTTTATGTTAAATTTAACAAGAATGGAATGGAATAGAGTGGAACTATTTTGTCAACAATTTTATGAGACCACAACATATAAATCCTGGTGGAGAAAGGAAATATTGATCATGAAATGTGACAAAAGAAACTTGGGACGTACATGTCGTAACTGTACACTCAGAATTCATCATTGGGATAATTATCACCTCACCAATAACGAGATGGAATGGTCGTATTATATTGTACACTATTTTAAAAACAAACCCATCAAATGGTTAACAAGGGAATTAGCCTTATATGCCATTCCAAATTCCACATTCATTGGAAGGCTAAATGGAGATTACAGGCACGCTGTTTGGAACAGTAGATTATGGGATAGAAGTATAACGAAAAACACATACACAGAAACTACTTATTGGAAAAAATTAATCTACTGCATCTTTAGAATACAATCCAGAAGACTATCCCATCATTGAGGAGGATGATTGGGAGACCAATTATGATGATGAACAATATTCAGCAGCAGTGGAACAGTATGGAAATATTATAGAAAAGTACAATTTATTGGTTTCAGTCAATAATATTTCCTATCAATATTTTCCTTTCGAAGCAAAAATGTTTCCGTTAAATTTTAATAATATAACGAACATTATGGTGGAATCGGAAAATGGATGTCACGGCTATAAGGATAATTAATTGTAGAAAATATCAGCATAATATTTTAGAAAAATATTTTAAATATTAATAAACCAATAAACTTGTATTCATTTAGTGAGTTAATTATTAATCCATAAGACAGAGGAACATTATAAATATTGTAGTAATTAGATGAGGAAGTATTGAATTACGTCGATTTTAGTATAATAAAGCTTTACAATAGTAGTAAGCAATTTTTGAACTCTTAAGCAATATAATAATTCCATATAAAAGGGAAATGCAGGGTAAGCAAATTAATAATGGTGGGAAAAAGAATATAAAAGGGAAACATGAAAAGTATAGGGAGACGATACTGGGCGAGACGGGACTGGACGTTTTGTCGAAGAAACGTGGAGTTACGAGTTAGGTCGTTGGTGTAAGAATAACTTTATATTTTTGTAAGATTTAATTAATTTTTGTGTTAAATTTTTATATTATATTTGTCTTTGTGTTTAATACGTTTCTTAAATAAAATAACTATTTAAAAATCTGGGCTTAGCGCAAATATTTTATATTCACCGTGTTCTTAAAATTTGTGTGTAAAAAAGTAGTTGTGCTGGTGGCTGACAAGGAGCCACCCTTCAGTCTGCTACTTTTGAGCTAGACTGTGCTGACGGATCTAAACTCTACCCCTTTAGTAGTCCACTAATTAGAGAGATTGGGGCTGATCAGTTTATAATAATAATTGTAATATCACAATTTTTTTGATAAGTTATTTCAACATATTTTAATATTTTTAACTTTATTGTATAAATAATTATAATCGTAGTAGTTTATACTAAAAATTAGTATTTAGTATTTAGACTAAATTTTTTTTTGAATTCTAATAATACTACAATCATAAATAATTTTTTTTTTAACATTATAATTATATAAATTTTATTTTAAACATATCTTCAAACTTCAATCAATTTTTCAATCAAGATTACTTCAATATAATCTCATATTTTGTGTAATTTTTATTAGAATTACAAATAGACCATTAAAATGCACTACTCACACAATATGATCAACTTTTACATGAAAATGCTACAATCAATATCACCTAATGAATTTAAAATATTTGACTCAGTATTTTTATTGAAAAATATCAGTGCCAAAACATTAAATATTACAAATCCAGATAAATTAACAACACTAAAATTATTATATTTCCATTTCATTTAAATAATTATTGGTTACTAACAATTGTTAATATAAAATATAATAAAATCATTAATTATGATACATCCAATAAATATCAAGAACAATTTAACTTTTCAATAAAAAAAACTTGTTAATGATTAGTCACATCAAAATTCACAATGGAAAATATACAGAAAAAATTATAGTTGTATAAATTATTGTGACTCTGGCTAAGTAATTTTAGCAATCATGGAAAAAATAACTAGAGGTTTTTTCGAGCCACTATCAACTTCAATAAAATACCATATTTAAGATTTTGCCAACAAAAAGAAATAAAGACAGGATCACTCATATTTGAGAGTAAACCAGTCGCTATAATTTCATCAACTAAAACAGAAAGCAACTCAAAAGACAACACATCAACTATTATAAACTTTGAATATGGATACACAAACCCAAAAAGAAACAAAAATACTGAAAAAACCAAAAAAAACAAAATATCTAAAATAGAAACTAAAGAAAATAAAAAATAAAATCAAAAAACAATAGCAAAAATATATGATCTTGGTACTACTAACATCAATTGTCAAATGAAAATTTTATAACAAATCAATAAAAAAAAACCATAATCTTATTACATTCATATCAATAAAAGTAAATAATATAATCCAAAGGTAATTTTATAGGTAAAAGTTTATATATCTTTTATATGTTAATAAACCCAATAAAATAATATTTTATTATATTATAATGGTTTATTTTTATTTATATAGCTTAATATTTTTAAAAGTATGATGATAATCATTAGTATATTAAGTACATCATTTTATTGTCAAATTATTAAATTAATTATTATACATTTATACACTTTTATATATTTTATTTTATTTTTAGAAACATTTTAATTACATGTTTATTAAAATACTTATTTTATATCATTATCACTAAATCATTATATATATATATATATTTATATAGTATACTAGCATTATTAATTACTTTTATTTCATTATATTAACACCATATTTTATTATTATACATTAATATTATATTAATCAAATTATATTTTATATGTATTATTGTGCAAAGCGCGAGAACGTGCTCAATTTCGATTTGGCCGCACATTTGTAATAGATATTTAGCACATACAATTTTATTTGATTTGTATTTTTATAATGATGATTTTTCTAATAAAACACATTATTATGGGAGATGATAGATATAAAACACCCATATCCGTATGTAACATTAACTTAAAATAGTAGAATAATAGGTTACGCACGTGTCCCTTTAAGTTTAATTGACTAACCAATAAATTTAATGATGATTTTAGTACAAAAATTATTTTAAATACAAAAGTCAAGGAAATAAAGGGAAATATCCTGGAAACGACCAATGATTTCCATAATTATAAAATATATATAGAATATGTTATTTAAAGAGGCGTGTGATAAGTTTGGTATAAAAGAGAGCAAAATTGATAAACTGAAATTAGTGGATGTCATAACTTTGAAAATGAAACCGATACTTGTTTTTTTTTTTTTTTGATAACCACGGAAGAGGTTCCGGAAGGGGCCCTTTCCTATGATAAAATATATGCGTGTTTTACAAAATTAAAAACCTTCTGTAAAACAAATAATATTGATAAATTGGCAATGTCGAAGATAAACTACGGAAATGCCAAAATGTTAAATTGGAACAAATAAGGGCAATGATAAGACAAATGTTCAGGATAACGAATGTCAACATACTGATATATAAAAATGACACATTTAGTGAAGTAGATAAACGTAAAATTATCGAGGCAAGTCATAGTTCTATTGTAATTGGGCATCTAGGTCTCCATAAAACTTATAATAGGGTTAAATGAACAAGTGACCTGGAAAGGAATGAAAAAAGATATAAAACTTATTATAAAAAATTGTGAGTCCTGTCAAAAGAATAAAAATTCTAGGTAAACTCAAATTCCAATGGCAATTACCACTATTAGAACGAGGCCATTCGAGAAAATCTTTATGGATGTAGTAAGGAAACTACCAACTACATATCGAAACAATTCATACATATTAACTATGCAGGATGATTAAAATAAATTCCTAATTGCAGAACCAATGGTAGATCATAAAGCCAATACTATCGCCAAAGCTTTCGTTGAAAATTTCGTGTGTCTCCATGGTATACCTCAGTCGACACTCACAGATAACGGGGCTGAATTCGTTAGTAATATATTTGTACAGGTGTGCAAAATTGTTTAATTAGAAAAGTCTTTAGCAAGCTTGTATCGTCCACAAACAAATAGGAGTTTAGAAAGAGCTCATAAATCAATAAAAAAGATGTTGCGACATACTGTAGATTTGCATGCACAGGATTGGTGTGAACATATACCATTTGTTATTTTTGCTTATAATTTTGCTGTACATGAGAGTACCCAATATCAACCATATGAACTTTTATATGGTAACCCTGTAAAGTTACCTATAGGTTTGAGTAGAGAAGTGAGTTCTTGTTAAAATCATGATAATTATGCTTATGAAATGAAGCGTAAAATGCAGTCGGCGCACAGGATTGCTAAGGAAAATTTAATTAAAAAATAAAATAAAACTAAAAAGTATTATGANGTGGAAAATTTTATGAAATTAGAAGGGCCCCATACAACTCAGATTCAAAAAAAATTAAAAAGTGTTTTAGACAAAAATATTGGGTACAATGTTATTTGTAAAATTTCCGAAGTTTTGAGTGGTAAAGAAAACGATATTAAACAAATAAATCTACCTGAAGATATGTCTGCAAACGATTTATTGTACTTTAAATATGCACCCCTTACCTCAGCAGATGTTGAAAGATCCTTTTCCATCCTTAAAAACTTACTGACAGACAATCGCCGATCTTTTAAGTTGGAAAATATCAAAAAAACAATAATTGTACAGTGTAATTTTTAAAGTATTTATAAAGTAATAAAGTAATATATTACTAAAGTAATATATTTGGTGGTAGATAATGTAAAAAATTAATTTCTAATGTATATAAATTAAACAATTTTTAACTAATAAATACATCTTATTACTTCAAAATTTGCTTATGATTTTTTCACATTATGCATATTTTAAATGCATAATTTAAAAATATTCGAGCATGTATATGCATATTTCTGAATTTTTTAGTGCATATTTCAATGCATATTTCACCAATTTTTTGTGCATGAATGCATGCTAATTTATACATTTTTTAGTGCATGAACTTACGAGCCCTGATTATGACCAACGAATGAAAGGAATAGATATTCACGTGGGAGATGAGGTTCTTATTATAGATCATACAAGAAAAAATAAATTAATACCAATTTGGGTACGGCCTTGTGAAGTGATAGATGTTACTGAATTTAATCTGGTCATCCAAAAGGGAAAGAAATTAGCCACTATACATAAAAATGATGCTAAAATATTTTATGAATAAAATTGATGTTAAAAACTATGTTAGTATATGTATATAAATATGTTTTAGTTAAAAATAATAATAATAGTAATCCTAATAAGTTGTCGAAACTGTCATAACTAGTAGCTGTTTTAAATATTTTAGGGTAATGGTAATGTTAACAATTTTCGTATTCAATCAAGTTATACCGTCAAAAATGAACCCGTATTTAGTTAATTGGACGCACCATATTCTTCTGGTATATATTACGAAAATGAAGGGGCATTACAGTTAACTAACACAAATTGGCAGATTGTTACGTATTTAAATTTAACGAAATATAATTATATGATTTCTATGCTTAGGACAGATTTTGCTGATGTAGTTAATATGTGTAAAATAATTACGAGGAGCATAAACATTGGGTATTGTAAGAATGTTAATAATACCATGTTATTGTTACT